ATTTCACTTAGCATCACACTCTCCAGTTCCATCCACGTTGCTACAAAAGGCCATATTTCGTTCTTTCTCATTGCCACGTAGTACTCCATTGTGTATATAAACCACAATTTCTTTATCCATTCATCAGTTGATGGACATTTAGGCTCTTTCCATAATTTGGCTATTGTTGAGAGTGCTGCTATAAACATTGGGGTACAAGTGCCCCTATACATCAGTACTCCTGTATCCCTTGGGTAAATTCCTAGCAGTGCTATTGCTAGGTCATAGGGTAGGTCTATTTTTAATTTTCTGAGGAACCTCCACACTGTTTTCCACAGTGGCTGCACCAGTTTGCATTCTAGTTGGGCTATTTTCAAGAGAACTGGGAAGGGGCGAGAATTATATAATTCTTTATTATTAATTACCGATGCTTTATATGAATCCACAAACACATCCTTTATTTCTGACCCTTTTAAGAAAAAAAAAAAATCTTTTATGTGTGCATTGAAAAGCCAAAGATATAGAGACTAAAAGAAGCAGAGAGGAAAGGTCTCTCATAAACAAAAACAACCCACCAAGGAAGTACTTAATAATCAAAAGAAGAAAAATCAAACTTTTTTGTTTACATATATGTATATTTTTTTTAATTTCATGCCAACTACAGCTAGAATAAATGGCCCTAGGTATCACTAAAGCCCAACAATAGAATGGTTTCATGTGCTTAGAACTAGGCCAGATTCTGTTTTAAAACAATATGGGTGGGAGGCGGGGCAGGGGCACCTGCCAGTCTCTGGAGATGTAGCAGAAGCCAGGGAGAGCAGCTGGTCTCATGCCAAGCCCATAGAAAGACTTGCACAGGAACAGGAACATGAGTGCTCAACCTTTGTCGCAATAAATTAACATTTAAATCAAATCTCCAGTTCTCAGACTCATGAAATGCCAAAAGCACTCTAGCTGCGATGCATTACATATAATTTGGCAGATGAGGGAAGAAGGTTTAGGGATTAAGGGGGAAGTCAACCTGAGAATGGTTTCAAAAATAACCACCTCAAACCAGCAATTTAAATTAAGCAAAGAGGCTGAATGGGAACTCTTTGCTCCAGGCTGTATATAAAGTCTATTTATGGAAACAGAGGCAGAAAGACAAGGACTTCGCTGCAGGTAACAATAATTAAGTAATCTTTCTCTGTAATTAAGCCTGCTTTACCATCTTTTCAAATACAAGTTTCAAGCACGTTTGTAGGGGTTCTGATTTTTACATTTCTATCTCAACTTCATAATCCAAAGTGGGGGAGAAGACAAATCAAATGCTGAGTCACAGACAAAAAAAAAATCTGAAAACACAACCTTTGCAAACCAAACTACAACAATAAACCAGCTGATAAGGAGACACCAACATTCATTTAGTTATTCAAGCACAGTTTTGTTCCATTCCCACTTTGTTGTTTTGTTTTGTCTTTTTTAGCATCTAAGAACTTTGGGGGAAGAAGCAGTGACACCCTCTCCCTCATTCTCATGGTAAAAATGGACACTGGGGAAACGGCATAGAGGCACTTCCCTAGCTTCCCACACATGGACTGAGTCCCCTTACTGTGACTACTATATCCAGCCTTGGTTTGCTTCAGAATCACCTGCTAAAACTCAAGATATCAATGAACTATCAGAAGTCACATGGGAGAATTCAATGGGCACATATACAGAGCACCGAGGATACTTCTTATTTGACACATACATACCCACTCCCACCCTTCCCAAGACCCTCCACAGAAACCCATGTTGTTCTAAGGAAGCCAATTTTATCCCTTGTGCCAGGAATGTAGCACATGATCTAGACTAAGGCAACCAACACATCCCCATCTCCCAGCGACTGTCATTGATTCGGGGCTCGTCATTTAACTGAGCCTCAAGCTTTGGCTTGGTATATCAGGACAAGGGTTCTATCTACCTCTGGATGGCACAATTTACAGATGTGATACTTGAAACTTCCATGGCCATGTCACGCCTGCTTTCACATTGGGAGTGTGTGTAGTCCGAGGAGAATGGCATCACATGGAGGAAAGCAAGGC